GGGGGGGGGGGTTTGTAGGCGAGATCGGCTGGGTTTAGGAGGGATGATTGCCCGCGGAGGTGGAGGGGAGCGTGAGGGGATGCAGATGTGCAAGGACCTCCACAGTTTAGGTGCGGCGTTTGTGCGATTTTATGTCCGCTTTCCGGCGGGGTGGCGGTGTGGAGTGCATTGTGCGCGACTGGGCTGGAGGGTTGAGGAGCCAGATGGGCGAGTTGGGCGGGGTTGGCGGGAGAAGGGTGACGTGCAGTTTGTGCGTAATGTTCCGAGTTGTAGGGCGCACTTGGTGCAACTCTGGATGGGAGGCTGGTCGTCGCTGGTTCGGATATATAAACTCGGCCTTTTCCTCGCCACCCGGACGTCATCACCATCATCCATCAAGAACACACACAAGACGCACACTTTTGGAATCAAGACTACCACAATGGCTACATCCAAGACGCGAGTTCTGGCGGGCAAGAAGGTTGTCATTATCGGTGGTTCTTCGGGGCTCGGCTTTGCGGCTGCGTCTGCGCTGATTGAAGAGGGCGCGCACGTTGTCATTGGCAGTTCCTCTTCCGACAAGGTGTCGGCTGCCGTAGCAAAGCTGAGCGATCCATCGACGCAGTTCAATGCCGACCCGTCTCGAGTCTCGGGATACACGGTGAACCTATCCGGTGCTGCAGCTGAAGCCTCTCTGCGCGAGTTTTTCGGCAAGATCGGTTCGTTCGACCATCTCATCCACACGGCAGGCGACACGCTTCGAATGAAACCGCTTGGCGAATGGGACTACAAGAGTCTGGTGGAGGCAGGAGATGTTCGCTACTTCAGTGCGATCCTTGCGGTGAAGATCGCCACGGAAGATCCCAACTTGCTCCGTCGGAACAGTGGAGGAAGCGTTGTGCTGACCACGGGGGCGGTGGCTGAAAAGCCCATGCCGAATTGGAGCGCTGTTGCCGGATACGCAGCTGCACTCTACGGCCTCACCCGTGGTCTAGCCCTCGACCTATCCGACAAAGGCATTCGCGTCAACTGCATCTCTCCCGGCCCCGTCGAGACGGAGCTGTGGAGTGGCATCCCCGACCAACAGAGAAAGGCAATGCTCAACGAAATGGGCAGCAAACTTCTCACGGGCAAAATCGGTCAACCGCACGAGGTGGCACATACGTACGTCTACTTGCTCAAGGACACCAATCAGACCGGCCAGATCATCAATACCGACGGCGGATCCACACTCACCGACCGTCCGCAGTAACCCTTTTGTAGACAGTATGCATTTTCTAGAATCGTGTCGAATGAATCGTGCGTTGTGCCACCAGGCTTCCGTTGGCGATCGTAGTCCTACCAAAGGGTGGAGCGCATACGGCATCTTGAACCGCGCTAGCTCCATCCAGCAGTGTCAGGTCCGCCCAAACCTCGGCGTCTGCGTAGGAAGAGTTGAGGCCGGCAGCGTAGCGTGCAGCGGTGGAAACCGCCGCGAGCAGTGTTTCGCAATCGTGTGGTTTGGCGCTCTGCCACACGCCGACCATGCAGGGGAGCAAGGCGAGCGGATCGGCATCGCCCTGCGGCGTAAAGAGGTTCGCGACATTGTTGACGCCCATGGCCCAGTTGAGCCGCAGCGTCTTGTGCAGCTCCAGCAGCGGTAGGGTAGCCCGGGAGCGAGAGGCGTACGGCTGCTCACGCCCCTGCATGTACATGTCCGACGGCGGAAGCGAGACCACCGATACACCCTCCACCGCATCGCCCAACCCGGCCACGTCGAAATCGGTGTACACGCTCAGCTTGGTACAGTGTCCGACCGTCACGCGTCTCGCCTGGCCATGCACATCCCAGCTGCGACCGCGCGAGAGCGTGAGGACGTACGGCAACATAGCTTCCTTGCCCTCTGCTGCTGAGCCCGGTGGATCGAGGTCGTAGTCGAGATGGAAATCAACATGCTTTCCGTGCTCCTCTGCCAGCGCAAAGACAAGGTCAATGTTCCTGCGTTGTTGCGTCTTGTGCTGCATTGCTCCGCCCTCGGAGGATTCGACGTAGGGTGCTGATCCGACCACACCCACCTCGTTTCTGCTTGCTGCTTGGCGCATGAGTTGGTGCATGTGCTGCTGTTTCGCTGCATCGGGATAGAAGAGCGGATCCTGTGCAAACGCCACGAGCTGCACATTGCACCGCCCCGCAAACTCGGACTGCAGCGCAATGCCCGCCTCGACACAGCGCAGTCCGACGGTAGGGTCCACCTCGACAAACGCACGCATGCTCGTGACGCCGTGCGAGAGCGAGGCGGCGATCAGCCGGCGCCCGCGCGCGACGAGGTCGTCGTGCGTGAAATGCGCCTTGGCGTCGGCAGTCGCAGTGAGAGCCTCGTTGAATGTGCCGTCCGAGAGTGTGCAGCGGTCGAGGAGGAAGCATTTGTCGAGGTGGATGTGCGGATGACACAGGCCTCCAGGGATGCCGAGGCTGCCACGTGCATCGATGCAGCGAGGCTGCGCAGAACCAGGAGCGGGTGTGGGCGCAGGGAAGCGTCCCACCAGCCGCCTCTGCCCAGCCTCTTGCACTACGCTATGACACTCGCCAGGTGTAGGATCGACGCGAATAGTAGACGCGAAGGGCCGGTCAGGATCAAAGCGCTGCTCGACCGAGGCGTGGTGCGGCGTGAGGTGCACCTCGACCGTGTCGTTACTGGCGGTATACTCGAGATCCACAAGTGGTGCTGCATCTGTGTCGAGGCTCAGTGTTCGATACGCTGCTGGTGGCAGACGCACGTTGCGCACTGTCAAGCTCGGTGTTGGCGATGACATGGCGAGGGCTGGTGTTGGTGGTGCAGGTAAAGATGCCAAGTGGAGGCTTCCAAAGCCTAAGCTGACAGCTGCTGCCCGGACGTCGGCGAAATGCGCGGCGAATTCTGGTAGTGTGTTAGACCGCGTCCAGAAAGAGCCACCGCACGTGACGGCGCGAATGTGGAGTTTCGGGCGACACGCGAAGCCCCTTTCTTGTGGCGAGCGGCGCCCCTTTTTTTGGCTGTTGCTCTGTGGCTGCTCTGTAGCTGCTCTGAAGCTGAGAGGCTCCAGGGAGGGCGCCTTTCAGGGGCTCTTCTTACTTGGGGCGAATTGATTGATTGCCGATGCACGCTCGAGCCGGTGGGGGCGTGCAGGGCGTGCAGAGCGTGCAGAGGCGCATATTAAGACTGGGCCGTTTCAACTTCCACCTCGCCTTCCTTCCGACCTGTCTTGCCCCACTCGCACTTGCCAACCACCATCTCAAGCAGCCATGTCGGCATCGTCACCACACTACTCGTTCGTTCCCGATCCGCACTCCGCACAGTACCTCGCCATGGACGCACGCACCAACGATAGATCGCCCTCGCCAGCCCGCAAGTTCTGGCCGTTCAACAGGTCGCGCTCCTCGAGCCCAAACACCCAGCAACAGCTGCACGTCGACACGAGCTTCAACTCGACAAGGTCGCGCAGGTCGTCCAACAACTCGCCGGCCATAAGCCCCTCGGGTTCCGCATCGAGCTTCGTTGTGCGCAGCGTCATCCGAAACCCAGGCGGCGTGTCTATGCCCGGTTCGCCCGCCAATGACACAGCACAGCCGTTCTTTGGCCAGCCCAACTCACCCGCAAGGCGCATGACGCTCGAAGACTCGGACGATGAGCAGCCCCAACATGGCCAGCTGCACTACCGCAGATCCAAGTCAAAGCCGCTCGGTGCCGCGCCGGCGAGCTTGGGCGTGCCGCCTGGTGGGCCCGGCGGAGGCATCGGCTATGGCACAGCTCACTCCTCCAACGATGGACGACCCGAGGCTGCAGGCGCGCAGCCTTCGCCGTACCACCGACCAGCAAGCCCCTCCGCCAGCATCAAGGCGGGCGAGTTCAACAGGGCCAATCAGCGCGGCCGCTCGCCACGCAAGTCGGTATCCGCAGCCAGCGCTTCCGACCACGACCCTCGCTCAGCCTCGGCGCACTCGGCAGCCAGCGGCAAGAAGCCCGTCGCTCGCATCACCGCGGGACCCAAGAGCTTGGCGCAGCAGCAGCACGAGATGCAGCATCAACAACTCGATCAATCCTCGCGCGGCCCCAGCCCCGCTGCCGGTCCTCGTCAGGCAGGCGGCCTCGCGGGTCCACGACAGTTCCCGGTCGCTGCTCCGGCTGGCTTCGGCTTGCCGCCCATGCAGCCTCCTTCCATGCCGCACGCACAGGACGCGCGCGACGAATCGCCCAGCCGCTCGCGCCGCTTCTCCTTTGGCATCGGCCGCACGCGCAAGGACAGCGACACTCCAGCCGCTCCAACTGCCGCAGCCGCACCGCTCGACGGCCTCCCCTCGCCCGTCGATATCCCCTACGGCCGCTCGCCCCACTCGCCGCTCCGCTTCGACGCAGGCGCAGACACCGACTACTCGCGCGCCAATTCGCCATTCGGCTCGGTCTCCCCCGCCCGCGTCGCAGGCAGCCCCAACTCGTCCGGCTTCATCAACACGCTCATGGGCAGGCAGTCCTCGGCCGACCACACGCCGTCGCGCGACGACAATGTGCCGCGCAGCTGCTCGCCTGGTGGCGGCTCGCATCTGGCGGGCAAGTGGTTCAAGGGCGTCTTTGGACGCTCGCCACGGGCGGATGAGAAGGACGCGGCATATGCGGACGGCGTGCTGCCGTATCCCGCGCGTGATGCAGAGGACGAGGCGGCCGTCGCGCAAAAGATGGCCTCGATGCGCCAGGCGAGGCATATCGTCGACCAGGAGCGCCAGCAGTGGATGAGCGCCCAGACACCCACGAGGGCAGCAGAATTCCGCCCAAGGCAGGTTGTCGATGGCGACGACGAGGACGAGGACGCGGCGTTGGAGCACGAGCTTGGGCGCAAGAAGAGCCCGCCCGGTCGAAAGCCCGTGCCTGCCTATCTGCCCGGTGCCACTGTCGAGTCGACACCAGCAGCTGCGTCCGACGAGCCACTCACGCCCGCACAGCGCATCATCCACGAGACACGATCCAAGCAGCTTGCGCGCGAGCAAATCGAGGCGCAGCGCAAGCACGCGGCTGACCAGCAGACGCAGCTGCGTCAGACGCGCCACACCCAACTGCCTCCGGCGACGCCGCCCAAATCGACCAGTGCCACGGGTGGTCATGGCAAGCGCTTTCCGAGTGGCGCGCACCAGCTCACACGCGAGCCTGTGCACGCCCACCCCGCCGGGGCCGCCTCGACGCTGTCGCCCGGGTCCGGGCCGATGCCTGCCGAGATGGGGCTGCGCGATGCACTGCAGGAGATGATGGTGCGCTTTTACCGCTTCGAGCGCTACTCGGTGCCGCTCATCCGCGCGCTCGAGCGGCGCCTCGTCGACATTGAGCGCGACGCCATGCTCGCCTCCAACCCGCACGCGCGCGGCTCCGTCGGCTCGGCCAGCAGCGCCCACTCGGCAGAGATGGACCGATGGGTAACCCAGATGACGGGGCTCATGAAGCACGAGGTCGGACAACTCAAGGCCGCCACGCGCGAGATCAGCGAGGCTAGAGAGCTCGTCGCGCACGTAGCACGCACGTCGCCGCAGGAGGCGGCTAAATCGGCGGCTGTACCCGTGTCCACGTCCATGTCGTCGTTCGGCAGCATTCATGCGGTCACACCGTCGGCGTCGGTGCAACCCATGCCGCAAGTGCTCGAGTCACCCGCAAAGGCGAGGCAGACAAACGTGTCGAGCTCGACGTTTGAGAGCGCCGTGCCTCGTGCCGGTGCGGGTGCGGCGGGCGTGCGCAATCTCGTGCTCCCCGCGGGTGCCAAGCCGGCACTCGACAAGGACGAGGGCAAGCACAGCACGGCCTCGCCTACGAAGGCCATCTTTGGATTTGCCTCCGAGAGTGTGCGCGAGCGCGATGCCCGCGAGCGCTCCGTCAGCCCCAATGGTCGGCCGCGCTTTACGTCCGTGTTGGGCCAACCGCTGGTGCATGGTCGTCTGTCGCCTGGCCCCACCTCGCCCTCGGCGGAATCGGGCATGAAGCGCGACGTGTCGGTTGAGGATAGGCTCAAGGCGCTGGTGGATGGGGCATCCACGCGATCGCGCTCGAGCAGCTTTGCATCCGCCGCGCCTGCCACTCTGTCGAACGCAGAGGAAGAAGACGACGACAGCGGTGCGGCAGACATCACGGCCGCACTGGCTGCGATCGAAGCCACATCGCACGGCAAGAAGCCGTCGACACACACGCTCGACACGCTGCGCGAGCCAGTAGCCGTGACGAAAAGCGCCTCGCACTCGTCGTCGGGTTCGGTCGAGGAACCGCTCACGCCGCCCCTGGAAGATGCCCCCTCCGCTCCCGGTGCATCGCCTGTCAAGACACGCGCGCTGTCGTACCTCTCTACGGCCGCGGCGATGGACGAGCCCAAGTGCGCCCCAGCCGTGGCTTCCGGCCGCATCTCGCCCAACAAGCTGTTTGCACACAAGTTCGCCGCCACCGCCTCCACCGCTTCTGCCCACTCTGCCCACTCGGCGAACTCGACCAGCAGCCCCAGTGCAAAGCTCGGGCTGGTGGAGAAGAAGAGATTTACGCTGGGCGCGCCCGTGTCGCCTGTATCGAACGGCAGGCTGAGCAGGACGCCCAGCGCGACGTTCGAAGACACCGCAACGGTCGCGCCAACCTCGGCGGCTTTCAGCGCACTCGCCAAGGTCAAGCCCGTAGGTCACACTGCCACCCTGCGCGAGCGAGTGGCGTTCTTCGACACCGCCAAGTAAAGCTTCTCCCTCACTGTATTCATAGTTGCCATTGTAGTCTCGGTTTTTTTTATGGCCGCGGATGTTGCTCAAAGGGGTGCAGGCGGTGGAGTGTGAAAGGTGGAGAAAAATGCGGGGGAAGTGCGCGTTTCGAGGCCGGTGCGAATGAGCAGGGTGCGGCTTGCAACCACCAACACTGATCGTGTGAGCAAGACTTTGCAACATGACAGTGCCGACACCAGAACGGTCACTGGCAGGGGGCAAGGTGAAAGTCTATCGCGTTGGGCTCACCGCGTTTTGCACGGCGGGGGTGTCGGTACCCGCGTCGGCGCAGGCTATGGTGTGCGTGATCGACCGAGCTTCGGTCAAGAACGCTGTGGACCGCGAAGCCGCCTCTGGCCTGCACGAGGCATTCGTGTCGTTTGCGCACGACGCCTCGCTGTGCGTCGCCATCCTCGCTGGGGCAGGAGGGACGTTCTGTGCCGGTGCGGACCTCAAGTCAATCGCGTCCAGCTCCCTCGCAAGCGCAACGGGCAGTGAGGGCAGCAATCTGCTCGATCCGGATATGGATGCCATGGCTCCCATGGGCGTCACGCGGCTGGCGATGAACAAACCCGTCATCGCGGCGATCTCGGGCTTTGCGGTGGCAGGTGGCCTCGAGCTGGCACTTTGGGCCGATCTGCGCATCGCCACCGCGTCAGCAAGCCTGGGCGTGCTGTGTAGGCTACGTGGAGTACCCCTGATCGACGGCGGCACCGTTCGCCTCCCTGCACTGATCGGTGGATCGCGTGCTGCGGACCTCAGCCTCACGGGCAGACTGGTGGGTGCGAAAGAGGCACACCACATGGGGCTCGTCAACTACATCGTCGCGGACAATGCCGAGGCCAGCAAGGGGTGGGAGGCTGTGGTGGAAAAGGCGCTCGAGGTGGCAGCGGGTTTGGCGAGTGTGCCGCAAACGTGCATGCTCAACGATCGCAGCAGCATGCTCAATGCGCTCTACCCCGCATCTCACCACGAGCAAGCAGGCGTGGACCTGCGCCTCAAAGGTGCACTACGGCAGGCCATGCAGCGCGAGTTCGAACTCGGCCTGCACAGCCTATCGCAACTCATGACCGAAGGCCAGGTGGGCGCCTTTGTCAACCGTTCCGCCGACGAGAAGCAGCAAGACCGCTCGCGTCGCACCAAGCTCTAACCGTTCATTGCTTTAGTTGCGGAACTGCCAACTGGACTCGTCGAACTTCTCCACCACTGCAGCATCCTTCTGTATCGCAAAATCAATTCATCAGCTGGCTGCTTTGCATCTGGGTTGGTGGGTGTTCGGGCAGCTCACCTTGTACTTGTCCTGGAACTCGCTAAAGCCGCCACGGAGGACGAGCACCTGCTGTTCCGGCAGCTTTCCCTTTTCGGTGTCCGCCTCGGCGGCCTGACGAGCCTGTGCGTACTGCCCTGCCGCCTTGGGCCCGCGCTGCTGTGAGAGGTGGCAGTGAAAGATGACCTGCTTGTACTCCTTGAGCGGGCCGCACACTAGATCCTGCACCTCGTCCGCAAAGGTGGCAGATGGATGATTGCGCGCGCCCTTGATGTTGCCGCCCTCAAAGTCGTCGTCTGCGCAATCCAATCAGCATGTGAGCGATCGAGGCAGGGGGTGGGGGCGGGGGCTTACCTCGAACATCGACGATCGCGACTTCGCGCTGGGCTGGGTCGGCGGCGTGCGTGCGCACCGTCTCGGCGAGCGTGTCGCGGTCGACGTACTTGTACAGCGGCTGGAATGACATGGCGGGTGCGGGTGCGGGCTGCGAGAACTTGCGCCGCAGCTCGGACAGTCGTTGTGCACGCTGCGCGTCGGCGGGTGTCGAGGCGGGTCGCGGGTGCGATGTATGCACGGAGCGAGCAGAGGCGAGGTATCGAGAGGACGAGAAGAGGCGAGCGGGAGGAACGGACAGGCGCATGTAGGGTCGATGGCGAGGAGGCAAAGCGTGACAACACCATCACAGCATGCACCACCGCCATGAGGTGATTCGCATCCAAGGCTCGCAAGTGGAGGCAACGTTTCGACCTAACAATTTTGACTCGAAAATATCCCGTCGGCTGCACGTCGTCGGCATCGCATCGACATGGCATCCTCCTCTCGACCCTTCGTGCGTCGCTACCACATCCACCCTATTCGCGCGCACACACAGCCATGCCTGCAGGAGGCGTGCCCAGCTGGGCAGTCACCTCGTCCTCCGCGGCCATCTTTGGCGGCGGATCTAGCACCGCCTCGCCCGCGCCATCCCAGCCAGCGCCCTCATCCCTGCCCGAGGCGCAGCAGCCAGCATCGCAGCCGTCCGAACCCCAGCCGACCACCGCCAGCACCCCCGCTCCGTACAAGCCCAAACGCAAGCAGAGGCCCGTGACGCACTGTGCGCCGCTGAGCTCGGTCGCCTCGTCGTCTCGCGTGCCATACTCGATCCCGCACGTCGACAGCGCCGGATGCGAGCAGGCGCTGCGCCAGCTCATCGCGGTCCAAGCGACGCGAGCCGGCTTCGATGCGGCCACGGCATCGGCCATGCACGAGGTCGAGCAGCTCACAAGCCGCTTCCTCACCTCGGTGTTTGCCGCAGCGTCGCATGCGGCCGAGCTGGCGTGCCGCGATCAGCCGTCGGCGCGCGACCTGTTGTATGCGCTCGAGACCCACGGTCAGCCCGTGCGCGAACTGCGCTCCTTTCACCGACAGCAGCTCGACCGTGCAGATGACCGTCAGGCAGCTGCTGCCACTGCGCGCAACAAGGCCGCGCACCATGCGAGCCATCCGCAAATCCACCGTCTTGACAGCGCCGGCTCGCGCAGCCATGACGACGATGCAGACATGCTCCCGTCCGACTCGGACGAGGGCTCGGAGATGGATGCGTGGTCGGTGAGCAGCCACTCGGACGACGAGCATCCGAACCGGCGCGCTGCGGTGCACGCGCGTGCCTCGAAGCGCAAGCACGACCGCGCACGCATCCTCGCCAAGAAGCAGCGCAGGCTCGACAAGCTCGCTGCTACCGGCGGCGCGGATGCTTCCGGGCCAGGTTCAGGCGCGTCGGCTCGCGATCTGCGTGCGCTCACGTCGGGCGAGCAGGCGTGGCGGCGCATTGCGGACCACGTGGTGCCGCGCCACCTACCGGGCATGCCACCGCGCCACTCGTGGATGCAGACGCCCGCCTACCCGACCAACGCATACGGCGCCTCGCTCGGCGCCGACGACGAGGCCGAGAGCGTGCGCGCCAAAGATCCGCTCATGCTCGTCAACCGCAAGCTCGCCAACGCCCGACTTGTCGAGGCGTCGCTGCGCCGGCTGATCCAGAATACCGACAGTGCTGCTGCTGTTGCGTATGCCGCTACACGCACCAGCGGTGAAGACGCAGCGAGCGCAGATCCGGCGCCAGCAAACACGGACAAGGAGATGGCTGCATCGGATGCGTCTGGATTCGCGGTGCCCAAGGCGCCCGCGAGCGGAGCTCTCACGCTGCGGCTCAAGAACAAGATCAGCCAGCCGAGCTCGACGCTCACCTCGCCCTCGCAGCCCTCGACGCCGCAGGCGAGTCGGCGGCCGTCGGCGATCGCCATCGCCACGCACGCGGGCACGTCGACCCCGACGCCGCTGGGCATGGCGATGGGCTGGGGCGGCGAGCCGCTCATGTCGCCCCTCACGCCCGTCTCTGCCACGCTGGGCTCCTCTGCTGCCGCGGGGGCAATGACGCCATACCCGCCCACGCCCGGCGGAGTGTACGGCCACTACTTTGGCTCCAACCCGGGCGCTGCAGGTGCGGAGGGCGGTGGGGGCTACCGCTCTCGCTCGCAGTCGATCGCGGCGGGTGCAGGCGTCGACCCGTACGCCACGGCCGCGCCAGACGCAGGCACGGACAAGCTCGGCATCCGAGTGCCCGGGCCGGTGAACTACAAGAACGTCTGGTATGCGCCGGGAAGCAGCATCGTCGGCGGCGGCATAGGCGGCGGACCGGGTGCGGCAGCGGCGACGGCAGCCAACAACCACCCGCGCTCCGTCAAGCGTCTGCGCAAGTGGAAGGTGTAAAGAAGCACCAATGGCACCAGCATGAAACTCGTAGCAGCAGAACGAGCATCGGGCATGCAGGGTGTGGATTGTGAGCCGATCGGCCGATTAGCGGAGAGCCAGGCCGTGCGAACTTCTTTTTTTTT